TTTAAAAGATATAATTTATATTAATTGATACATTTAATAATTTAACATTTATTGTATAATTCAATTATTAAATTAATAAATATTAATTGATTTAATTTGTACATAAATCAATTCTAATGATATAATAGATTTTAACACCCTTATTTATTTTATTTTATTTTTTAATTTTTTATTTATTTATTTTTTAATTAGACTGGTTGCAATCAAAAGATCAGATCAATATTATGTATAATATTATATAATATAAATTGTAAATTATAAACTATTATAAATTATGTTGTAAATATTATAATTATGATTATGAAAAATAAATAATAATTTTTTTAACATAAAAGTGATTATAACTTGGAAATGACTTATTTCCAGATATTTATATAATCTTTTTTTCTTCTTTTTGGGTTCCAAATCACTTCCCAAAATATTATGGAGGCGATTTACTAGACGTCCTGTATAAGCAAAAAATAAAAATTAAATTATATGTAAAATGGTCGAAATGACCTTCTGGAACTTTATAAAAGATCGAGTGATGTCAACTGCAATCCACAACAGCTGAGGATACGAAAAATAAAATTCGTCGAGCTAGCACTGAAATGACATCAGAAATGCCAACGTTCGAGTGTTTTCGTTAAAGAATTTTGAATGTTAGTACAGAGTATATACTTTTATACATATATACAATATTTTACAATTTTTTTTGCAAGTATCTTATTTTATCTCATTTTATATCATATAAATCAAAATTTTTTAAAAGACATTAGTTTTTTAATGTAATATTTTTTAATACTATTTTAGAATATTTTATGTATCATGTTTGTTAAACATGTAAATTCAAATTTCTTTACGATGTTTTTCCTTTTTTTCCAGATTATTGATTTTTTTATGTAAATAAGCAACTTTGAAGTTCAAACATTTTAATTTTGCTTTTGTATTTACGAGATAATTTTGAAATAAACGCCAAGATTGATATGAAGTAAAATCTTCTCGACATAAATCTCCAACGTATCTTGGATTGTAGTAGCGCTTTTTAGTGACAAAGGAATCTTCTTTCTTTCTAAAAAATAAAATAGCAAGAGCTTATCAAACTATTCTATTTTTTCATTATTATCAATATTCTTAAAAATTGTATTTATTTATGTAAAAAATTAAGTTACTATTATGTATGTACCAACCTTTTTAATTGATTATTTATTGATTTTGTATGTATTGTTTCATCTGTACTTATAGATTCTTGTATTTCATTATTTAACATTTTATTAATTTCCAAATCATGTTCCGTAATAGCTAAGGGATCGTCAAATTCGCTAAAAATCAAACAGAAAGTGTCTCATTAAACCATTCATTGTGTCTTTATTCTATTATATGAATATCATATAAATCATTACATTTTCTTATAAAAATTTATGAAAAGTATCAAGTGGTTATTGTGAACCAACCTTTTCAATTGAATATCCATTAAATTCTCTGTGTTTAATAGAGTTTCGTCTATAGTTATAGATTCTTCTTTTATTGTTATATTTGCTTCTAGATTAATATCATTTTCAATTCTCGATGATATACAAATGTTTTCGGGAAGGTCAATGTTTATTCTAAATTATACAAATATGAATACATATAATATACTATTTTTTCAAATGTCATACATACATTTAAAAGTTATACCTAGTAGTATTTTGTGGATGCCGTATAGAAGGACATGTTCCTCGTTTAAGAAATCTTCTAACACCATCTCTATACACTTTATAAACAAAATCAGATTGTTTAAAATGTTTGCTACAAATTCCGCTATTTGTACCTATTTTATGGCCAATAAATGCAAACCAACTTGCTTTAGTTTCTTTATCTTTCGGCAGCCTTAAAAATACATAAATTAGTTTATAATGCTGTTGCAAATTTTATTATATAAATTTTTACAAAACATTTTTCAAAATTAATTTTAAGATTTCAAAATTTTTCTGTTAAACACATTTCTTTTGTATATCTGTATCTTATCATACAGGGTGGGCCATTTAATCGATCCACCCAAATATCTGCTAAAATACGCAAGCTACAAAAAAATGTTTCAGACAAAAGTTTTCGAACTTCGAGGGGGACATAAGATGATAACATTGGTTTGACCCTGAGTGGCGTCGTCAAGGTCAGGACAAGGTCACTTTGAATTTTTTAAATGGAACCCCCAATTTTTCATTACATGTTCTTATAGCACGCCTCGAGAACTTTCCAAAACACAAAAATAAAATATTTTTTATGAAATAAATCTTGAGTTATAAAGTCTGAAAGTTGGAGAACTGTCGGCATTAGCATCATCCAAGGTGTCCAAACATTAGCTAAAAATGGCCAAGGTCTTTATCAATGTCATGATCCTGAACAACATTCAAAAGGTTTTAGCCAGTGTTTGGACACCTTAGATGATGTCGGCTAATGCCGACAGTACTCCAACTTTCAAGCTTCATAACTCAAGATTTATTTCATAAAAAAATATTTTATTTATGTGTTTTGGAAAGTTCTCGAGGCGTGCTATAAGAATATGTAATGAAAAATTGGAGGTTCCATTTAAAAAATTCAAAGTGACCTTGTCCTGACCTTGACGGCGCCACTCAGGGTCAAACCAATGTTATCATCTTATGTCCCCCTCGAAGTCCGAAAACTTTTGTCTGAAACATTTTTTTGTAGCTTGCGTATTTTAGCAGATATTTGGGTGGATCGATTAAAATGGCCCATCCTGTATATAAAAAGATATAAATATAATTTAGGATCAATATGAGCATATATATACACACATGCGACTTAAACAATATTCAATAAACAGAGAATTAATAATATATTAGCCATTTAAAAATTTAAACAGTACGAGTATTGATTGCGTTGACATTAAACTGGTGTTTCTTCTAGCAAATCCTACTAACACAGCTTTTATAGTTAATATAATAGTTTGACAATAGATTGTCATTGCAAAAATCAAATCTGATCAATCTGCCTTCATATTCTGTTAACAGATTCTGTTATACATATACTGATGTTTTATCAACAAAATTTATAACAGACACTTTGCAATCTGTTTTCAACTGATTTAATTATTTTGGTAATTTTTTCTTTTTGCTTTTGTGTACTTCAAACGTGATTTTATGATTAACTAAAAAATTTAAAAACTTAAGTCGAAAGTATTACATACAAATAAGAAAAAAAAAACTATTATTTCATTTAATATAACCACATTACAAGTGAATAATCAATTGAATTTTTAGTCTACTGAAAACGCGGCTAATTTTGTCAGTTTTCTGTCAACAGCGATGCTCCACATTTGTAAGGATACACTACTTACTGATGGAAGGATACATCATTTTCCGCCTCTGCTCCTATTTTGCAAACATGACAATATCCAACCATTTTCTCAACCGTAGGTGTAAAATATGCAGACTGCTTTTTTTATAGACTTTTATATATTAATCAGACTGCTCAGTGCTCACTTCGTCGTTACTTTTGAAGATAAAGATGTGTACATACACATCATTGTTTCCTTTTCTTTATAAAAGAATATATTAACATGTGTCATGCGTTGACAGCTTGACACTCTTGACAGTTAAATGATTCTTCTTCTTCTTACTAATGGCTTCCTTGTGTGGGAGCGATACAGACATATATACATAACCATGATGCAGACATGGTGTGCTCGTAACTAGAGAGGATCCTGAAGGATCCTCTCTGCTCGTAACTAAAGGGTGCTTTCCAATTGCTTAACACATTTTAAAGGTGCCTTTTCATACGCAGCACGCAGCCTTTGAGTATATAGTACATGGAGGTGGAATGCCTTTGTTCTTTGTAGGCCGCAAGTGAGTCCAAAGCTGCGTTCCTTTTGGCGCTTAAAGGTCCATCTACAATGGGAGCAGTAAGTCGTAAGCCGTAAGAAGTTTACCAATCGCAGTCAATTATTCTTCTCATATTCGACTGTGATTGGTGAATTTTTTACGGCTTACGATTTACTACTC